CCGGAATATCCGGAACCGATTTTACGGTGGTCATATGGCTCTGTGGACGTCGTTTTGAGTGCCATTGGTCATATTTCGTCGAGTAGATGTGATTTAATATGTTGCTTGATATTGTTATGACAGGCAATAAATTTGACCATTTGGAACCATAATCCGGAACATCCGGAACCTGTTCCATGGTAGCCATGTGGTCTTATGAATGTTCTCTATCATTTCCAGGAGTTTCACGAAAAAAATCTATATGTTGCCGCAATGATATGTAAGATATATGATAAAGATTGAAAAAAAAAACCCCCGTGCCAACACATTCTTGAATATATAGAAAAGAGGGAGGGTCATGGGGGGGAGTACCACCCAAGAAATGTAAGAACCACTCACCGGAATGATGTTAAAAAAAAGTCATTTTAATCGGCCATGGCATCTCTGAGATACAAATTTTTGAAAATAAAAAGTTTGTCCCGGGCTTTTACGGGTTAACGGCACTTTTAATAACTTCATAACTTCGCGACATTAAAGAAATTCCAGACTTTCAGGGAAGTTCGAATATTTGTATGGATAAGGTCCGATAAATTCCGGTCAATTCCATAAACATCAGAAAAATTTCGAGAATTTTTTTGACAGTTCTATTTAGTTCAGGGTAATACCAAGAACGTCTAAAGAATTGAGACTACTTCAGGAATGCTTCGAGAGTAGAATGACTGATCAGAGAAACTAAGAACAGTTCAACTAATTACAAGGATATTGAAGAATTTTTTAGATGTTCCATGAAACTCAGCGAATTTCCAAAACTTCATCCAAGTACCAAGACCTTTATTTAAATTTCAGAAACATAAAAGATGTTACATGATCATCAGGAAAATGTGGGACTTCCATGGTTTTCAATGCAGTTTAAAGAACTGCAAAAAATACAGGAACTTCAGCAACGGTTAGATTATGTTTAAGACAATCGCGTTCAGAAATCTTCAAGAACTTCTAGAGACCTTCAGAGATTTTTTTGGTAGTTTCATTATATTTTGGGAAGTTCTCGGAACTTCGTAGATTATTAGAGATTTTCATATCAGTTTCATTTATTTAAGGAAAATTGCAGGATATTTCAAGGAATTCAAAGAAATTATGGGATATTTCAAGAATTTCAGGAAATCTTATGAATATCAGTCCTCAGGAAATTTTATAAATATGATTAAATTTTCCGGAACAATAGAAACATTTATGAACTTCAGGAACGATTCAAAACCTCACGGAAGTCCAAATAAAACTAGGATTTTTACGCGAATTGTCTACCTCTGTGGATGTTCAAAATCTTCATATCCAAATCCATTAATGTGGCCACCAGAGTGCACATACTGGTTTCAAATCCAATTTCATTCATGCAGCATAACAACAAGTTGATTTAAAAATCCAGATCCTTTTTTTCTAATTTTCCACATTTATGGATGTTCCGGGTCTTCCAGATGAATGCTTTGGTTCGTTGGGTCTACATTTTTGTCCCAAATCCAAATTCATGCATATATCACATTGTTCAAATGAAAAACAAAACAAACATTTCATAGATAGCAACGCTTGGGCCGGTTGCTATCGTGCTGCTATATTTGTCAACCCGCTGTTCACCGAGAGACAGATTGTTATTTCCAGCACTTGAATAGCAACCCCCAGTGCGGTTACTGCGTTATGGTGGAGGTTGCTAAAATAGCTTTAGTAACGCATTGCACACTGGGCCAGAAATGCAATCTAGCGAAGCAAAATTAATAACTCCGAAACGAAGCATTTCCGCGACTTGGTGTCTTGGGTAAAGTTTCTCATCATGATAAGGACCATCTATTGACATAAACAAATAGTTCAAAACTCTTCCGAAAAGATGGCACCACAATCGAACTTCTTTCTCTGACGTTTGGGAGACTTGATGTTTTCGGCAAAGTTGTTTGCCTTGACAAAATAAACAACTCTTTTGAAGACGTAAAATTTCCACAGCCTACTGGTTCTGAGTTATATGGAGTTAAAGAAAAAATGTCGAAAATATGGTTTTTTTTCTTACTGTTTCGGTTTTTTTTGCTGACAACCATATAATGTTAATTTTTTCTTATGCAAATGCATTAAATAAATAACTTTTGTGAAGAAACATACTGGTTTAAGCTTCAAATTTTAAAATATTATTGAAAAATCGAAAAAAACAACAATTTTTGAACTTTGATATCTTCTAAAGCGCAAAAAATCGCAACCTGACATTTTCAGCAAAAAAAAGCAATACTCGATAAAAAAAATATCGAAATTTGAGAGAGGTATATTTTGGTGTTTTTGAGACTTCGTCATTTTAGTGGAGCATGTATTTTTTTCTATAACTTTTTTTTAATGCATTTTAATGGCGTTTTGAAGACTTGGCGACTAAGGCAAAGTTGTTAACCTTGATAAAATAAACAACTCTTTGCAAGAAGTCAAAACTCCACAGCCTACTGTTTTCGTGTTATATGGAATTACAGAAAAAAGTGAAAATAAGTGTTTTAATTTTAAATATATTGTATAAATGCATATATTTTTGCAAACATTTTATTGAAAAACATACGTTGTCTGTACGCTACTGGGGTCAATTTGACCCCAAATTAAAATTGCCATATCTTAACGAAATTTAAATGGATTTCTAACAAATTCAAATAATTTGCACTATAAATGTAGTTAAATTTCTGTTTAAATTATCAGATTTTTTTTTGAGGGGCGGATCTCTCGGGTCTGAGGGTTCATTGTAGAAATATACCGCTCAAGCGGCGTATTTGGATGCTAGAGATGTGTCACACTAGCGCTGCCTTGTGAGTGAATTCTGAACTAAACTCTTTATATTAGAATAAGTCGTGTCCATCTGAACAACTTTACCCCAGACGGAAACCTTCTATCTAGTCCATATGCTAAGTTAGGATAAACTATTAACAATTAATGTCACACTGGCGCTGCCTAGTGAGTGAATTCTGAACTAAACTCTTTACCTTTGGATAAGTATTATCGATCTGAACAACTTTACTGAAGATGGAAACCTTCAATCTAGTCAAGAAATTAGGGCAAACAATACGAAATTAATGTCACACTAGCCCCGCCTGTTGAGTGATTTCTGAACTGAACTAATTACCTTTGGGTAGGTCTTGTCCATTTGAACTACTTTACCCAAGACGGAAACCTTATATCTAGTCCATATGCTAAGTTAGAGCAAACAATTCAAAATTAATGTAATACTAGCGCTGCCTGATGGGTGAATTATAAACCAAACATTTGACCTTAGGATAAATTTAAATAATTTGTATTTAAGATGGCGCAACTTGATCATTTTCGTTTTAGTGCCATCTAGTAAGTATATTCTGTCGTAAACTATCCATAGTTTTGAGGACCTTGTATTCCCGAATATCTTTGCAGAACGAAGCAACATCCCATTTGGTTGGGATCTCGTGATATAAACATCTCTAACATCCAAATATGCCACATGAGGGGTATATTTTTACAAGTAATCCTCCCTCCGAGAGATTCACCCCCTAAAATAAACTTTGAGAATTTAAACTGAAATTCCACTAAATGTTACTTTACAAAATATTTGAAATTTCAAAAATCCGTTGAACCTTGAGTGCACACTTAATTTTTTCTACCGAGCTCGGCTGTGCAATTCTCGGCAACACATTTTTTACTGAGATCTCAGCAAACATTTCATTTGTTTGCTGAGATTCAGCTAAACATTAACGAGACTCTGCAATCAAATGTCACTTTTGCTGAGATCTCAGTAAAACTTATTTTGCCGAGATTTGCACAGTCGAGCTCGGTAGAAAAAACTAAGTGTGTGAAATATGACAATTTTTTTTTTGGAACAGACGAAGGGTGAAGAATGCCAAATTACTTAAAAATTCATGAAAATTTAATTCCCGGTTTTTCTCTGGTTGCCCATCATAGTTATATCAGTTTCATAAATATAGCTATGGTAAAATGGGATAGGTACTCCAAAATTGCATCATATTGTCAAATTATGTTCCATAATTTAAATAAAGTACACAGCAAAAAAATAATTTTGATATCACGTCAAAGTGGATGCACTACAATCATGTCGAAAATATGGTGTAATATTACTTGCTAAAAAGGACAAAATTATCATTAATACAATGCATGAACATGACATTACGCTACTTTTACTGCATTTGTTTATTTATGTGGTCATAAAAATTACATGAAATTTTCGACATGATTGTAGTGCATCCACTTTGATGTGATATCAAAATTATTTTTTTGCTGTGTAGTATGTGAAGGCCGACATTATAAAAGTTTTTAAGAGTCCTGGAATTTAGCAATTTCTCTTGGTAACATGTAATTTTTGCGATGGTAGGTATTTGAACCAAATGATATATGGAACTTGAAAATTTATTTAGAAAACAAAGAGATCCACTGGATAAAATTCAAATCTCGGACTGAGAAATTTGTCGTCACATTCTTGAACTTGTCGATATTTCAGACACCGAAAAGTTTAAAATATCAAATATGGCGCTACTGTCGAGATCTCAGATTTAACAAAAAAAAATCATCGTTGGGCAAAATTAGAACTCATACTCATATTGCTTCAATTGATTGTCTGATTTTTAACCAAATTTGGCCAGTTGTAGAAAGGCGATTTCAAAATTGTTGAAACGTGTGTTAGAGCTCACAAATTATTTCTAAGCCCAACAATAATGATAGGCGAAATCAAGGTCCAGTGCAAGGTTGGAATTGGAGTCATTTTAGAAAAATTCCAATTTAATAACATAACCTCAATGCCGAGGCCTTGAACCCACGCGAATAGATAAAGTTTAATGATAATTTTTAATCGGGTCACCGCGAAGCAACAACTCTACACGCATGGAAGGTAAAACTCGTCCACCGACAAGCATTATTAGTCAATCAAAATGAATAACGTATTAGAGACACCGCCCCGATCGTGTTCATGATCGTGCGTTCTGTCAAGGTAGCCAATCTATTCCATTGTACAAATGCCGTTCGAGTCATACCTGCTTAACCCTGTCCCGCTTCTCCTGGTCCATCCCGCTTCCTTCGCCGTCCTCAATCCGGAACCACTCACCAGCTGACGACCGATTGTACGTCGGTACATAGCTGGAATTTTGGAACGCCGGACTTCGCCAACTGTACTCCTCCTCGTCTTCATAATCCACATCCAATCGGGACCAGTGCTGATAGCTGTAGATCGGAGCACCGTTCTTGTTGTACTCGTCGACGTCAACAATCAAATTATCCGCCGCACCGCCTTCACCCCCGCCGGCGAACCGATTGAACTTGGTATAATCTTCGTATGTCCGATACCGGTCGGCGGCTCGATCCTCGTTGGATCGCCTGTGAACGACCAGCGTCACACCGGTAACGGCCACCACAAAAACTGCCGTCGCGACCCCACTCAAGGCCGGTGCCATGTTTTACTCACTCACTCGCGCTACGCGTGACCACTGTTCTTTTTTGTTTGCTTTGTTATTCGATTTGTTGATTCAATTCGGCGTCCCTCTCTCGCTCTCGCTCTCTCTCTCTTCTGTTATTACACATTCACTGAATGCACAAAAAGCGTGAGATTGAACATCCGGTAGCTAGGTTGGTAAGGTTGAATTGGATTTTAGATGCAACACTTTCAGAGATTCACATCCACTAGAGGACAGGGTGTTTGGAGGTTCCGTTTGAACCTGGAGGTTGGTACACACTGTCAGCTTTTAAACTGTACTTTCTCTACCGTCACTTTCCATTTTCCATACAAATGTGATTAGCGGATATGCGTTCGTAGAATGTTTGATCGTTTTACAGCAACATTTTAGCATGAGATATCTCTGATAAATCATATGTTCATTCACCTGTTGTGTTTCCTAGAGCATTTTGAATAATACTTATTAAATCACACTTAAGACGCTCTTGCTATAAACTTGCTATAAAAGACGAACTTCGTCGTTTTTCAATAATTCTCCGTAGTAACCATTTTGTAAGGAAAATGCATATTTGAGTTCACTACTGTTTGTTTATTGCCGATATCGGTAACTGCTGGGCTGACCAACTGTCGACGCAAAAGGTTTGACTAATGGACTAGGGTGATTACGAAGCGGTAATAGCATTCTCAGAAGCTTCCCCCCCCCAGAATAACAAAACAATCGATTGCATAAAAATGCTGGTCCGCATGTTATTCAACTGCACCGACCGACCGACGAGTATCTGTATCGTTTCAAAATTTCCTAAAGTCTCGGCGATCGTACCTCATTACATAACAATCGAAACAGCCCATAACATGAATACTAGTTTTTTTCCTTGATTTGTTTTCCGTCGATCCTGTTTTCCGTGCTGAGCACCAATGCTACCGACGCCAGGGAGGCAGCTCTCCGACACCTGAACCCTACCTATCAACCCATCAACTCATGAACCGGGGACCAACGACTTTACTTCCTTTCGTGATCAGAGACGTTATGCCTCAGAACATCCCGGCGGCGCCGACTGGGATTGAACCCAGGCCTGCTGGGGTGAGAGGTAATCACGCTTACTACTACATCACTGGCGCCGCTGTGAATACTAGTTTATTGGAGCTCTATCTAATAAAAAATAGCTCAGCCAGCGGCAGCACCAAGCCCATTCGATGCCAGCCCGTGTCGTATCAAATGTTAATGGATGCAAATGACTTTATGCCTGCGGTTTGTTGAGGGTAAACGCTCCTATAGTTGCGGTACGTTGGAAGCGTTAGGTTGCTATAGTTACTTATGGAGACTCCATTAGCACCTACGCCGTATGACGTAGCGAACACGTTATTAACGCTAGGTTTGGCGAAATTTTACATGATATTTCATGTAAATGTAAGCGTAATATAGCATAAATATTTATTATTGCATACAAGCTTGTAAGCAATTTCGATGTTTATGCCAACTCTAGGTCAAAACTAAACGAAAGGAGATGTGTGACAGTTAAAATTCAGATTTTTTTTCTGTGTATAGGAACCTACACTCATAAAATAAATCACATAGCCAGTGGAAAATATAGGAGCGTTTACCCTAGATTAGTGAAGTTTCTTCATTATCGAGACTTTCAGCCGTTCGCCTTGTGTTCGTACCACGAGATTCGATCAGATTTGGGTCCGACCGGGAGAAATTGATCTTCATTTTGGCGGTGTAAAAAGCAAATTTGGACGAACATTTCAAAAGGTCAAATTAGCATTGATCTGTTCATCGTTTGCTTTCTCCTTTTTGGCCTGCTGTTATCGAAATCCGTGATTCCTCAAAAGAAATTCGCGACAAGTAAAAAACTTTTTCATCGCTTAAAAATACCATTTCTATACATAGCTGGAAAAAGGGCCTATCTGCTTTGATCGATTTTGTTTATCGACTTTCTCTTTCGTTAATAACTCAGCTGCAACAACAATAGCACGAAAACTGTTTGCATAGCCGTGGTTATCAAAAGAGAAAGTCGATGAAGAGAATCGATCAAAGCAGTTAGGCCCTTTTTCCAGCTCTGTATAGATTTGTATTACTACTACTTGGTATTTCAAGCTTATTGCTTATAGCGTATTAGCATTTTTCCTGCTCTCAACATAGTGTTCTTTGAAGCACTTCCAAATTTTAATTGAGAGCTTTCTATGCCTGTAGGAATTCAAGAAATTTTCCAACCCGAAAAATTAATAGACCAGACCGGGAATCGAACCCAACCGCCTCCAGCATGGACTTCCTTCGTAGCTGCGCCTTTACCGACTGAGCTAAGGGAGTATCGTTTGTATCCTTAAAAAAGAGACAATCTATTTTCATTCGTAGTTATTTATGTTCTGGGTAGTATAAATTTTGAGTATTTAGCGATCATAATAATTTATACATTATGAGATTCTATTGAATAAAAGCGGCCTAGCTTTTTTGAAACATTCTTTTTCTTTCATTTGAAATGCGAATTAACTTGAATATTATTAACATCCAAATCCCAATAAAAATAGGTTGCATAGAACGAATTACAATTCAATTAATTTTATTTTAGGTTTTCATTTTAAAAAAATAATAATACTGACAATAATTCTTCTAAGAAGTATTCGAAAAGAGATTTAACGAAAAAAATAGGTAATTCCAAGGAAAATTCCAAGGGAATTGAATTCTGAATTCCGATGATAGCTCCAACTAAATTTTGAGGAAAATTTCTTAAGAATTCTGAGGAGTATTCCAAGGATATTCCGGTGATAATTTTTAGAAAATTCAAAAGAGAGTTCCAAGGAAATTATGATGAGCATTTCAACGAATCAATCGGAATTCTGAACATAATTAAAAAGGAATTCCTATGGTAATTCCATGGGAATTTCAGGAGAATACTTAGTACATGCTGAGGAGAACTCCAAGATGAAGTTTATTCAATTTGATGTCTTGAGAGAAGTTTTTAGTTTAAATTTGGCACATCATAAGTTATACTCATTGGGACACCACTTGAAAATTATAACTTTTTTACTAAAGATTTAAGATATTGAAATGTTCAACCAAATTGCAGAACTCATCATTTCCATAAACTTTGTTGAAGACGCAAATTTGCTAGCATGCAAATTTTATTGAGATATGAAGCATTATTTATGAAAACCCCCTTAAATCGATTTTTCGGCTTTAACTTTGTTGTTTTATTTTAACCAAAATCAACCGCGATACGAAATGTGGTCAGGTTTTGACCACTTATAACTTTGTCAATAGCGGATGGATTTTAATTATAAACAATCCAATCGATTGGAAATATCTCCACGAATCTGCTAAAATGAACACTTTATCAATTTTCAATCGGTCACTATTGAAAATTACACAAATGTCAAACTGTTGCAATGATGATCAAAATTATCACAGATTGCCTGCAAAAAGCACTTTCACTAACACAGATCTCAAAATCGAACTCCATCCGGTCTCGCCGAACGGTGCTTATTCAATCACCGTGAGTGCGGGTGCCCGGTCGTAATCAGCAGCAGCAGCAGTGCTTTCGGCGCGTTGTGTTAAACTAGCAGCTAGCTATCAAGGCTGTCCTCAAGAGCCCTCGATTCACCGAAGAAGGAGGAAGAAGCCGCACCGCTACTGATCGGATTCAGTTGCTCGTCGCGAGCCGCTGTGGGCCATCTATGCCAAGCGCGTCACCCTCGTTCCAAACAAAATACAGCTCGCCAGCCTCATCCGTGTTGAACAGCCTAGTAGCTCAGCAATATTCATAATACACCATAAATAATTGTTGTTTAAGAGTTAATTTTCATTGAACGTTCGCTTGCCTTGATACCAGCCACATCACCCCCAAAGCTCTTTGATTATGTACCCATCAACCAAAAGTTTGTGGTCAAATGCGTAACAGTATTGAGATGACCTTGTCAATTAACCGGAAACACTTCGAATTAAGGTAAGATTTTCTCCACGACGCTAGAAAAAAGCAAAACAATCTCGAATATGTCGCAATTGGAAAATTTTAGCAAGAAATTCCTCCAACGCTTTTTGATCTATTGAATAAACCGAAAATTCTCCGCGTTTTGTGCACGAAAATGCGCAATTTTGTCATCAGAAAACGAGGCGTTTCCGTGATGGGAAAAAGAGGTTTCCCTAACACAGTCGCCGAATATTGATACCGAGCACGTAATCCTACGTCAAATCTACGGTCGTGTCTTGGATACAGCGTTGCCAGTATTCCAGATTTATCTGGATTTTCCAGATTTTTAGTCGTCTTTCTAGATACACAGACAGATCACGTATATTTCCAGATTTTTTAAACATCTTTAAAAATATCACTGCAATTGATTTCCTTCTTCTTCTTCTTCGCATTTCAAGCTTATTGCTTAGTGCATATTAGCACATAGTGTTCTAGTTCTAAATGCACTTCCACAGTTATTAATTGAGAGCTTTTGATGCCAATACCAATGCATGAATTTGTATATTGTGTGGCACAATGATATTTCATGCCCAGGGAAGTCGAGAAAATTTCCAACACGAAAGATTCCCTCGAGCGGACCGGGAATCGAACCCGCCACCTCCTGCTATGGTAATACCGTGCCTTTATTGACTAGGCTATGAGGCCCCAATTGATTTCCTAATCAAAACATAAAAAAAGCATGGAATTGTTACAACATGGTTGCATGTTAATGGGTTGCAGCATCATGAAAATTGAGACATTTTCTAACGATTTTTTTTTTTGGAATCCTGGATTTATAAAAATCAAACTTTCAATATGGAGGAATTTTCATAATTTTGGAATTTAGAGAAATCGAAAACTTTTCAGGATTTTTTCCTTGAATTGTTTACCGTACTAGTACCATGGACCGGAGACCATGCCTCAGGCGCCGACTGGGATTGAACCCAAGCCTTTTGAGGGTGAGAGGCAATCACGCTTACCACAACACCACCGATGCCGCTTACTGTTCAGGATTGAAAACAATAAATTGAGCTTTGGAAAATTAACAAGCCCTTTGAATCTAGACAACCATCAGGACTGTGAAGTATGTTCGTGAGATTTTTGAGGATAATTCATAAGGGGGGAATTTTGAAGGCATCTGATAATTTTTAGCATTTTTTAAAGTACTTGTGAATATTGAGTTACCTTATCACTTTGATGTAATTTAAGAATTTTAAGGTAA